TAATATGTTATCCGTTGAAAGCAAGGAGATAAAACGGTCAATTAAGACAAACTCGTTAGCATTGCATGTGATCACTCGCTTTTAACCATTCAAGGACAAAATATCAAATAACTTCACCAAAATTAACACCCGTCTGTCCCAGTCAGATCTATTCTCTCTGTCTTCCTTTCATCGCACTCCTGACCTCGGCGCCCCTCTTACCAGACAGTTCATCCTCGTGTCCGGGCAGGTACTCGAGGCTGTCGGCCGGCGGCAGACTCATCCGTCCCGGTGACGTCATTGCGCGCCCGTCCACCGACAGAACGTACTTCTGCCGCTTGGACGCCTTGGTTTTTAGGCCCGCTTTCCGCGCCGTGCGTAGCAGGGTCTTCTTGGCGAACCCCCTGTGGAGCGAGCGGGACGCGAGGCTGAGCGAGCGCGCTGAGCCGAGCGAAGCAGGGTAGGCTGGAGCTAAGCGGGGCTTAGCGAGGAGCGGTAGCTAGAGCTGGGGAGTCGAGATCTGATCAAACTGCTGATGAAGAGATGAGATAATGTGAAGGCGTCCGATTCCTGGGTAGATACGAGTGCCGCGCTTTCGGCAGGACGGCAATGTAGCTGGTGGGCCAGGAGTGTCATTGTCAAGAAAGATGTCATCAGTCAGGTCCTTCCTGTTGCCGGGCGGGAATGTGCTGTCAGGAAAGTCACTGTCACTGTCAACGGCCAGCTCTGCCGTCAGCAGTCAGCGCCGCAGAAGTCAGCGCCTCAAATCAGCTATCGGCTCTGCTGTCAGCAGGACCAGCTGCAGGAGCACGCAGAAGCCGCCACAGAAGCCGAGTCTCCACCGCTCTGACCTCACGGATGCTGCGGAGAGGGGCAGAGACTGACCTGACAGCTGGGAACGCTGCGATAGGGGCAGGCTCGCACCGCGTTTCAGTGTACCCAGGAGACTGGAGCCCCGCAGCAGACTGGAGCGTCTCAGTCGGCTGATACGACTGGGGACCACCGCCCACGAACTCGCGGTCACAAAAGACAATGGTTTGGGACTCGACCGGCCCACCACAGGAGTAACAAACAGGTTGTTCCCGGTGCTTGTGGCAAATTATTGGATGACGAGCAGCAAGAGATGCAGAATATCCTTAGTTGGTTTAAAAAAATCACCGCAATTATCCTCCCCAAGGCTCATTCTTTTTCGACAATGCAGCGCCCACTAAGCCAAAACGCCTTCTTGATTCACATGGCAATATGCAATATGCACGCTCGTGAACGAGTAAGGCCGTTATAGTTGGCTCATAATTGCCCTAGAGGCACACTATCTCCCAAGTTCTCTCGGGCGTGACCTTACCGTAGCGTGGCGTTTTTCTGTTTGTCCTTGGAGCCGGCTGACGCGGCGACAAAGTGCTGGCCGCGGAAGGCGAACAGCTCGGCGATGCTCGGCGGCGCGCGTAACCGCTGGATGAGCTTCTTCAGCCTCTCGATGGACTCAGCCGTCACTTCCTCGTCAAACGCCAGCTTAATCAGCTGAGGAACAGCATGGGAAAGGGTTAGATTAGCCCGACACTGTGTGAGTGGTAATTAATTGAGGAAGTAGAACCAACAAGACAATTTACCTCCTTAGATCGACAACTTGGTGTATTCTGATCACCTGTCTTATCGAAAAGGAATAGATAATATATCAATTTTACAGAAAAGTTGTTGGGCCTGCAACCCCCCATATAAGAACAAGACTGCCATGATAAATCACCGCATTAGACGGCCTGATGCGGTAGTCGGGACCCTCAGATGTCAGACTGATTTATCACAACAAATACATATCCTGTCTGGTCAAGAGGTCGCCGCACCTGGAATGTGTTGGACCGGAGCTGGAGTCCCTCCTGGAGCCACTGGTCCAGGTGGGGCAGGTACTGGACGCTGATTCGCTTCTCCTTGGTCAGGGAGGAGATGGGTAGCGATCGTACGATGGCCAGCTCGCTCGCTGCCGACACAGGGGGTCATCGTCAGCCCAGTTGGCCCAGCGCTGGTACTACAATCATGGTAGCGCATCACACACAATGAGCGTTCACAATAGTTAATCCAAGCTTAGCGACTAAGTGGAGAGAAAAATCGAACTAATCGAACTAAAAAATGCACATCATAACCCAGACGACAGTCCTGACTGTATGTCCCGCGGCCAAAGAAGTGCCGGAAGTTTCGCGCTCCACGTGGTCGTGCCCATTTCTTACTCTTTCTAGACACTCTTTATCACACCCGATCTCCCAATATCCACCCACAACACCAAACTCGTAAGTAAGTCCCCCCCCTCTCTTACCAAACGCGTCACAGGGCGCGCCCTTGAAGATGAGCCGGTAGTTTGTGATGAAGAAGGCTCCCTCGGCGGGCAGGAAGGCCGGACCACCGAGGGCTCCCGTCATCTCCTCCCGTCCGTCGGGGAGAAGGTAGGAGCGCACTGCCTCAAGCAGCAGCTCTTCGCCCGGCAGCAGTGACGGCATCAGGATCTTCGGCTGCGGGAGGGAGGTGGCGGATGGTCAGACGGGTGCGGAGAGACAGGTGACGTCCACCGGCAAGACACACCAGCGACCGCCAGTTCGAGCCAGCCCGGGAGACACGTCAGAGGATGAACGGGTTGACGGGGCAAGACAGGTAGTATATTACTCAAATCCAATTAGAGAACAGCGCGCTCATGAAAGTCATCTTTCCATGCTAAAAAAAAAACTATCATCAGGTTCAAGGCCCTGCTTCAAGTGTGTTGTATGTAAAGAAATGCATGTTCTAAGGCGACATATCAACGTCACACGCTCAAAAAGACGAGTGTTGATTCTTGATTCTGATTCTGCGGCTCCATGACACGGCTCGACCTCTGAGACAGCATGAACACGACACGCACCTTCTTTGTTGACGGCAGCCGCTTGGACTCTTTGCTGACCGCCTCCAGCGTCTCGATGTGCATGGCCACTACACCGGGCACCATCTGATGTAGTTGCCTGCAGTCAACCAGAAAACAGAGAACGTTAGAGACGGTTCGCGAAATAGAACACAAGATTAAATATCAGCACTAGACTCAGTGTTCATATTAGAACGCTTGCTGCCAGTAATGTTTAAAATGTACAATTAACAGAGTTCGGCTCTTAACAATCCAATAAATCACATTTCAATCTGATAAGACATGAGCTTACCAGTGCAAAAGTTATCTAGCTTTGCAGCAACTTTCCCAGTCAAGTTCAAGAATTACCACCATAAAACCCACGTTCTGCCACATTCCTTCAGAAGCAATTGACAATAAGTCCCGTGCGCGCCGCGTACCTGATGTGCTCCTGTGTGACGTGTCCCTCGGTGCAGACCTTGTCGACGAAGCGGGACACGAAGCGGGTCACCTCCACGCCAGCAGAGGTCACCTCCTGGTCCTCGAACCCCGACTCGGCCGTCAGACTGTCCGTCTCCGCGTCCGCCACGCTGGCGATAGGGACGGGGAACGGTCAGCTAAGGACTGGGGCTATCGCACAGTCAGTCTCAAATGGCATTTGTCGCCGAGGCGTCCTAAAACCGACATCAACGCACAGTCAGTTGTTGGCCATACCACTCGGTTACGAGAAATCGACAGCATTTGAAGATAAGTGCGCTAACCGAATCGTGAATCTTCAATAAGAGGAGAGTGACGCAGACTACGATGGCACCTACAATATGTCCAGATGTTCAGCTGTTCAAAATGTCCAGTCGTAACGACTCAACTATAGTCATAGAAAAATCGTTTGTCACAAGCTGGTTTTGCCATGACGTCTTATTGTCTTCGAAAAGAATGCATGTTATTCTGTCAGTCTTGGTAAAACATCATTAATATAGATTAAGCAAATATGTACAAAACGCTATCTCACCACTCCAGCCACAGTTATCTTCCCTCCGTTACGCAAGAGCAGTTTCCCACACTTAACACCCCGACGACTTAATCTCCCGTCCCATACCTGTTGGTGACACTGTTGCTGTTGCTCTCGCCGCGCTCGTTGTAGTTGTTCATCCGCTGCCGGTGTGAGACCACGTCCAGAGGTACGCGCAGGTACACGATGCGGTTGGCATAGTGGATGGCCTGACTGTACACGGTGGACTCCTCGGTACTGGACAGCTCCTGAAGCTTGGCTGGGGAGTGAGAAGGGCGTTGTCGGCTCGTCATGTGGGCAAACAAGGGCTGGCACGTACCCCGGCGCGATGTCAAACGATATTTGAAGGGAATATTATTGTAAAACCTGACTCAAAATATTAGAGGAAAGAAATGGCATACAAGAACAGGAAATGTCCACCAGTAGGTAACGAATTCAATAAAACCGTTCACGTTGCTTCAGCTCCCATATTCCGCCTCAATATCCTCCGTCATTCAAGCCTGATCGTTCAGAAAAAAAATCTAGCCATTCATCATTCCTCTCATTGCCGCCTCAGTCCCCCCCCCCCCCCCCCCATAAAGCCAACCCTCACCCTCCAGCCTTCCTCTAGGTTGTTCCTCTCGCGTACCTTCCTCCAGCTGTGACCTCATGCGCAGCTGGTCGGCCGCCAGCTCCAGCACAGCCGGCTCGGCGGTCTTCCTGTCGGGCCGCCAGCCGGGGGCGCCCGGGTCCCTGTCGCCCTCCAGTGAGCCGAACTGAGAGCCGGTGGCGTCTATGACGCCGTAGCGGCCCTCGTGGCGCGGCGCGTACAGCCTCTGTACGTCCCGCTGCACGTCCTGGTAGTAGGCCGCCTCCCAGAACTGCAGGTTACCCCACACCGTGTGCTCCTGCGGGGGAGAGAGGTGGCGGGTTACATCTTATCCTTAGTGTGATCGCATCATTAAACGTCATAGGACGGACGACTGTGAGTGGTACGATGTGGCATGCCTTACGAAAAAGACCAGATAGTTCATGTGCTTTCGATAAGACTGCCTAAACTGACCTCGCTCATTACGCATGGAAACGAAAAACCAAAAGGAAAAACAGTTAAAAAGTTTGAAAGACCAACTACAGCTGACAGCAAGTTAAGTTAGCCGGAAACTCGATTAAGTTATTGGTAAGTTGCAACACAGCACATCGATGGCACATCGATAACAACAACCAGCAAATGCATCAGACAATACAAGACTCGCCGAGACCTTGGACTGCATTCACAGTCTCACCCTCAAACGGTGCCTTGTCCGACACCCACTCACCTGTATACATGTGTAAGCGAACCGTATAACGCCCGTGCAGAGTCGTCGAGCCCCGCTCCCATACCGCGCCCTGTCAGTTGTCACCCACCTGGATACATGTGTAGGCGAACTGTATGACGCCCGTACAGAGCCGTCGACAGAAGGCGGTGGCCAGAGGCAGGATGGCCGCCGCCACACCGTGCTCGTCCATTGTAGAGTCGTCCTGTCGGGTGGACGGAGGTACGGTTAGACACTCACGATGGACGGTTACACCTGCGGCAGATTGTCACGCACTTTGGCGGATGCTGAGACACGATGGGGTCATGGGTGGCGGGGTCGAGATAGTTGGTGAGTGACAAATGCCTAACCTGTTAGTACCAGCACTTGCAATGATGTCAGAATATTCCCGTATGGAATATCCATCAGGGTCTTTATACCGGTAAAGGTAAAGTTACGACGCTATAGGGCACGCAGACCGACAGGCCCTTACAACATACAACAAACCAGCCTGGAGAACACAATTTATCAGGTTGGGGGAGCGGCAGGGCAGTTCACTAGACGAGAAGGGCACACCGACCTAAGTTTTGAAGGGAAACCAAAGGTGACACACCGACCTGCAGGGCGCAGTTCATCAGTCGCACCACCAGCTCGAACTGCTCGTTGTCCAGGATGGCCTTGTTGCCGATCACGTGCTGCGAGAGCTCGTGGCATAGCGCCAGACGCGCAGACTTGTTCTTCAGCGCACGCAGCACGGCCGGGAAAGACTTGCGTGCGTCCGAGATCTTCGACTCAAAGATGCAGCTGACGCAGTTTCGCAGCACCTGGCGAGGTAGAGTGACACCGAGGTTTAGGGTTTATCAGAGTTGAATAGATGCCCCCGCTAGAGAGAGATTAAAGTTTAGCAGTTTCGGGGATGTTGAGGGCAGAGCTGATAGCTTAGCTGAGAGTCAAGCTTTACATATGCAGCGGACTGTGCGCCGTACCGACTTGAAAATGGTCATGGAAAATACGTTGACAAAAAAAAATTAAACGTCAAACAGATCAATCAGAACATTTGTGACAAGTACGCCAGTTCGCCTTCATAGTTCATTACCAGTCCCTACTATCGTAAATAGAGGCGACGGAAGGTGTATAACGTATAAAGTGCGCCAATCTGACGAATCTAGCAGCACCTTCACCCCTCGGTACGGACCTCGAGCCGCCTTGCCGAGTTGTTGACGATCTGTCGGCCATCCTGCTGCAGGGTGGAGATGTGAGGACCCATCGGCACGATCCGGTTCGGCTGAGGCTTGATGGCCGCCAACCTGCGCAGGACAGAGGCAAAAAATAATATACACAGGCCATACACAGCCAGGTAGTAGGAACTCCGGGTAAGCGCGCAGCATGGGACGAAAATCAACGACAAACAAAATGCTAACAGTGGGGAATGAGACCGATTAGAAATGAACCCGAAATCGGTAGGGCCAAGAGTCTGAGAATACATGACCTAAAATCACGCAAAGCCATTGAATCGTTTCAATTAAAAATTGAATGCTTACATTTCACCCTAAGTAATAACCATTCCCAAGCTCCGACATCGCCAGCAATTATTCCCTTATAGCATTCCCTGGCCAGCACTGTGAAGACCAATGATGCCAGCCCGACCAGATCCCAAAGCAAGACCCAGACAAAATCAGACACATCAGGCCCTCCGTGCGGCTGGCGTAGCTCAGAGCAGGCTGTCAGTAGTCAGCACTCTACCACCACTGATCCCGTCAGGGCTCGGTCGCGCGTCAGGAAGAGGGCAGCACTGGGGTAGAGGGCACAACAACGGGCAAGAGGGAGCCAGTAGAGGCCCAGGACAGAGCGGGAGAGGGGAGAGGAGGGTGGATGAGGGCGAGGTGCAGCCGCTGAAGTCGATAGAGATCGTCAGTCGAGCGAGGTGAGCACAGGGCGGCCGAGATTCAGACCAGATACTCGTAGAGCATACAGCCCGCAGCTCTAGAGATCATTGGTAGTAAGCGAAGCCATCCGCACCACGCGATAGACAAAACAACCCGGTCAGGGACACTCCAGTCCCGATCGAAGGTTTAAACTGTCACAGGCCACCCATCCACCGTCCCCGCGGCGGAGCGACAGAGCACAGACCCGTCCTCGGGGTGGTACCGGCAGACGCATACAGACACACACACACACAGTATACCCCGTCGGAGTGGGAAGGGCGGAGCCGCCTTACCGCTCGCCAGATGCGTGGCTGGGAAAGGGGAGGGACAGTGAGTGCGCACACCGCCACCGCAGCCCCGTTAGCAGCGGCCGCCGGGACATTGAAACGCGGACACGCACGGACTTTGAGCTCACAAGGGTAAATTGCTGGCAATACACAGAGTTACACACTGCTGGACACAGCTTATCACACATCATAGTTCATGGTAGAATGCAGACGGGACCACACACAACAAACTAAACCGAGTCAAGCTCGTAAAAACTTAGAGCCTGCTAAAAACGCAAACTAAAAACGTGAAAAAAACTAATCAAACACACTGCAGCCTGCGCCACAACCAAACAAAATCCTACGCCCTCATCTTATAGGCAGCAAAGTTACTGAACCTCCCATTTCGTCCATTTTGAACAGCAGCACAGTACTGACCTCTGTTTGAGGTTGGTCTTGGAGCGACCCTCCTCGATGACTTGCTGGACAGCGTGCACGTTCAGCGTGGGGAACACGGGCTGGTGGATACGCCGGAACGAGCCCTCAGTGGGCCGCGGGATCTTCTCCACGTACGGCTGCTGACTGGGGATCTCGTTGTTGTACAGGTTCTGCGCCAGCTCCTGCAAGAGGGTAGATGGAGTTTAGCGATGAACCCGCAAGCAATGGACACACTTTGGTTGTAAATGTTCATAGTGGTCGTATATGTTACGCTTTCGATCAGTCCTAAATAATATGTCAAACCATCTGCGCCCCAAATACATGACAAGTGTAACGAGCAGCCCGACGTCCCCTCTCACCTATTTGCCTGCAAGTTTGTGACGGTCTTCAGAAGTCTCCCTTGATACTTACCCGTTCGAATATACCCGACTCCCGAAACAAATACCTATGCACGTCAGTGACTGTCTGCTGCTCTCACTTAACCTTCTTGCTCTTTAACAGCCTCCCAAACATCACTTACCTGCACATGTGTGACGGTCAAACTCCGGTCAGCCGTCTCCTGCCGCACCATCTCGTTGACGCCGCAGTACACCTCGTCAAAGATGTCACACGGCCTCCAGGGCGGGCCGCGCTCGGCGATGAACGAGGTGAAGAACATGCAGTCCAGGAGGCGGGCCGTGAAGGAGCAGTCCACCATGCCGCGCTGGCCTAGAAACGATGCCTGTGACGGGAAAGGGGAGACGTTACAGGTGACTGTCAGCTGGAGAGGGTAGAATGATGGTTGACAGAAAGACGTTGACTATCGTGTGGTGCAATTACTGGTTACGGTATCAGGAAATTAATGAGATTAGCTTTACCAACATCGAGAGGGCGCCAACATGTCCTAGCGAATAAAACATGGGGACGATGAAGGGTATGGTGTGTATCATTTACCCCAGTCGTGGAGTGTATTTAGTACCCACCTTGTGGAAGGTGATGACTGGTGCGGGGCGTATCTCATGACGTACCCAAAGATGTGGAGTTATCCTTCACCCCAGGTGAACGGTGTATCTTATACCCACCTTGTGGAAGGTGATGACTGGTGTGCAGTGCATTATATACCCAGGGGTGTGGTGTAGTTTATACCCACCTTGTGGAAGGTGATGACTGGCGTGGGGTGTATCCGGATGAGCGTCAGACAGTTGCGGTAGCCCTGCAGCAGCTGGCCAAACATCCGCAGAAACACGGCGCGGATCTCCTTGTCCAGGATCTGGCGGAGACAGCGCGCCGATGTCGGTTAGGGGAAACCCCTGATTAGTGTCACTGTGTTACTGTTATCTTTATCCTGGTAGCATTTATTTTTGTGGCGAATTCGTTAATAATTAGCACCACAGACCACCTGGTCATAGATATGTAGTGATCTATGTTAGCACTGAAACCTTATTCCCAATTTGCGATAAAAACAACAAACACAAATTTAAAAGCGCAACATGAAAATGTGTATGCAACCACTGCGATGTCAGTTTCAGAATCATCCAACACACATACAACACAAAGACAGGAACAACTAACAGGCCTGAATCCAGTCATACCCCTCTCATATCAACCCAACTCTGTTCTTCCCACACATCCACTCATGACTCAGCACTTACCATGGGCGCCGAGGGCCGCACAGGTGTGGGGAAGGCGAAGTCGGACCGGTGCAGCTCGGGATGCAGCACCTGTGAGAGGCTGTGAAGTGCCAGCGAGCGGACCGGCTCGGGCAGCTGGGGAATCATACACGACTCGGGCACGCTGACACAGCCGCCGTCCAGGTCTGCCACGATGACGTCCATCTGAGGAGATAGGGTTAGACAGGGTTAGAATGGGATTGAAGAGAGTCAGAAGGGGACGGAAAGGGGCAGAATTGGAACAGAAAGGAGGCAGAGGGAGAAGGAAGGGACTCAGAATAGGGACAGACAGAGGGCAGAGGGGACTCATTTGGCGAGAAATGTCATGTAATACACAGGTCCTAATTATGTCCAGATCTGGCCTAGGCCAAGGTGGAGGGGAGGACTCTTCTTGTCTAGTTGGCGAGTGAGAAAAGAATCCGTATTCGATGACGTGTGAAGCTGAGAGCCTGCTATCCGCTCATCCATCTCCTACATCATCGCCTCTCGCCAGACCATCATTCTCCCCAGACTGCCCCGTCCCCTCTCTACCCCGTCAGCGACGCCATTTGATTCCACAGCCCGCCGGCCTATCGACTCAGCCGGCCGACCCCCGGGCGGGCGGCCCCAAACGGCCGGCAAACAATGGCCAGATAGCGCCGTCACTGGGGACCCACTGAGACCCATCCATCAGTCAAGCTATGTTGGAGCACAACGGCAGCACAGAATGAGGCCGCTGCCTTTCATAGCCCGGCCAGCTGACAAAGAGTTTAATTTTAGACGGACGGGTGGGCTAGTTTAGAGCCTTACATCCAGAGGTTTCAAAATTAATGTGTGTCTTGCCAGCTAGATCTGTCTCCACACGCACATTAATATTGTCATATTTTGGTCCAATGGACAAATCCTGGCTCAATTCACACCACACGGTGCCTAACGACAGCCTTCACGTCCTCTCTCCGCCCACCTCACAAAACGCACCAGACATCCCTGTCTCCCTTTTCCGGATCGACCACTCATCCCTCCTCCCTTTATCTACCTCAGTCACCAGCCCTATTAGCTCTGTGTTCCGTCCCTATTCCCTAGTCTCGGCCACTCACCAGGTCTGGCATGCCGTGCAGTACGGACGAATGCGCTCCCATGATGAAGGGAGTCGGCGTGGTCACCACCTCCAGAAGAGACGACGGCAACACCGGGATGTACACGTAACTGAGGGAGACGACGACAAGGTTAGCACAAGACATTATGTCGGCAAATACTGCTTAGACAGTCACCGCCTAACACACGGTATAGGTCGGTCAATGTCAGTCAGTCAGTCACCACCTTTTGCAGAGGCAATGGCAACACCGGGATGTACACGTAACTGAGGGAGATAACAACAAGGAGTCAGGCACACGGTATATGTCAGTTAACACAGGACAGTCACACCCGGCATATGTTGACAAATACCAAACAATCACCAGCTTTTGCAGAGGCGACGGCAACACCGGGGTGTGCACTGCAGTAGGCACGAAACTGCACGAGAGAACGGTTAGGTCAGCGTATGACCAAAAGGCTAGCGTCAGAGGTTCCACATGGTGGGGTGGGTGGTGAACATTTTCGACCACTGAGATGGCTTGTCGCCAAGGAAGATGGGATGGTCTCATTTTGACTGCCCTAAAACGCTACAGTTTCCAGCCAGTTTAGCTGAATGCGCTATATCAGACTAGGATATATTCGGAAGAAAGCATTTCAGATAAGGCATGGCCGACCTTGCAGACAGCCCAAGTGTTTGTCAGTCTTTCGAATGAGATAAAGCTACAACCCGACGGCAGACAATGCCGTCAGCTCGGTGTTCCGGGACGCTTCAGCCATAGTACCCTAAGCCAAACTGGGAATATGGATGTGGGACATAACTCTTGCACCACAAGGTTTAGAGCACCAGTACCCCCAGCCACATTCCTCGGCCATTCCCTATACCCCAGTTCCCCATACCTGTACTTGAAGGGGTACATGAGCGAAGTGAGCGCGTGGCACGCTTCCGTCAGCCGTGAGTAGGCCGTCGAGTGCACCAGGATCTTGTGCTCCGTCATCGCCGCACAGAACAGCGTCATTACGTTCTTAATGCCTGTCGAAGAAACCCAAAAGACCCGTCAGACGCACTAACGATATTGGTGGCATGGATGGACAAGGATCGCACACCGTGTGCTACTCTCAATAGCAGCCGCTTGGTAAGCATTATGCAATGGTCATCAGTGCACAACATAATCGCGAAGCTGTTGCGACATGGATAAGTGGAATATTGCATTATCAATGTGCTCAACGATAAAATGAGCATTACAAAACATAGTGATACCGGGTTTTACATAACTCGTGATTCGGATGTTTTATGAAACATTGTATATTGTATAAGTAATGGCTGAAAAGCTTCACTTTCCGTGTAAGGCATTGCCAAAAATGATACTTCAATAGGGCGTCCCCAGAAAATACAGGAAGGCGCGGCGACCGTTACTAACCAGTTGTCAAAGCCAAACCCATGCCTGATGCTGCTTCTACCGAGCTCTCCCATGCCAACGCTGTGTAACCGTTAAAACACTCAACAAACTGCGACAAAGCAAACCATATGTCTCTTAACGACTGCTGTCTCACAGTCACTCCTTACACTCCACGATATTATTCTTACCGACCTGCCTCACTGCAAGTCCTAGGCAACATCGGCCGTTCTAACACATACCATAGCAGCTAACGAGTCCCAGGCTATTGATAAAACCTCCCTTACCAAGCTGTCTCAACAGCTGTGCCACGGCGACCACTCGTGTCCCTTAGGTAGTCCCTTACCGAGCTGACACAGCGACCCCTTGTGTCCCCTGACATCGTCCCTTACCGAGCTAGCACAGCGAACCCTCGTGTCCCCTGAGGTCGTCCCTTACCGAGCTAGCACAGCGACCCCTCGTGTCCCCTGACATCGTCCCTTACCGAGCTGACACAGAGATCCCTTGTGTCCCCTGAATCCCCCTTACCGAGCTGATTCAGCGACCCCTTGTGTCCCCTGAGGTCGTCCAGCTGTGCAACGAGTCCACGACCACCTGATATCTTTCTTACCGAGCTAACATAGCGACCCCTCATGCCCCCTGAGATCCCCCCTTACCGAGCTGCCCGAACAGCTGTGCCACCGCCACTCCCGTGGTCGGTATGGAGGGGGATAGCGGCGGCTGCAGCGCCTGTCGGTCACCGGCACCGATACTGAACCGCACCTGGGGGCCGCCCGGAGGGGGAACCTGTGGAAAGAGGGGGGGGGGGGTCAGACACAGACTAGGACACAGAGGAGATGGACGATACTGAAACTGAACTGCGGGCCGCCCGGAGGGGGAACCTGTGGGCGGTGAAAGAGACTGGTCAGATCAGAGCACGGAAGAGGAAGCAGAAAGATGTCAAACTCAGACTGCATGAAAAGAGCAGATAGTTAGACATACTAGGCCGGGCTAGGGCCCAGCCGAAGGCGGGACGTTTGGGCGGGGGAGGGTAGCAGTTGGACACAGACTGTAACGCTAGGGGAAGCACCAGGAGACAGATCGCAATCAGTCTCCAAGAGAAGATAAAGGAAGGTACACATCGGCGTGGAGTGTTCATGGGGGTGGTGAGGGCATACTGGGCTGAATTACTGGGGGCACGGGACTTGCAACACAAGATTCGAGCATATTGCAGCGGTACATTTGAAGACGACTTGAACACAGTGAACCTTGGCGCTCAATGTTGATAGACGTTATGGCAGAGTCATCAGATGATATATGACACCACCAGCTCCAAAACGATATTTGAGTTCAAACAACAAACAGCGGCGGGCAGAACTTCTACATTTGAGCTCCGATAGCTGCAACACAGCCTACTATCACTTATCAAACGAACCACTTACGTAATTTAACCGATCTCCTGGAATCAAAGGCGCACCTTACAAGCAAGGCCGCATTCCACGTGCTGTACCCTTCCGTGTATAATCGTCACAAACAAATCGCTGCACGCAATCCAGTTTAAGCACCGCTCGTCCCTCGCTCCCTGTCATACCGCGACCTCCCCCCCCCCCCCTCCCACTAATCCGGCCGACTCAACCGAGACACCTGTAAGCGGCTCCACGGCGGCTGAGTCGGGAATGTAATGCACTCGACCACCATCACGCGACATTGTCCTCTTACGAGGGAAGGTCGCTAACGGTTCCCCGACACTTGACGCACGCGGAAAACTCACCTGAACACAGCCTAGAATATTGCCTACTAGCGCCTCCAGCTCGGGACCTAAACTGTCCATGTAGACCGCGTACAAAATGCCCAAACAGTTCTGGAAAGAGAGGAAAACGAAAGTAAGACAAAACATTCGAGCATGTCATTAGCGTATCAATATTCGCGTGAGTGCGAGAGACTGAGAGTTGATGCCATGAAAACTGTGTGGTTACAACAATGCACACGGTTAGAATTTACTTTTCAGTTGTAGTGCAACGTTTACTTCATATTTGTCGCAGATTTCCAAGTCCTTCATGAATGGGTACATCATTTCCGAGTATGCAAAATAAAAATCGTGGCATCGACATCTGCTTTGCTACCATGGTCGATAGCATTTGTCGGTGGACTAAGAAGGCAACGTATGTATGTGTTCTTAGGTTCAGCGGGAGCTCAAAGTCTGCAGATCGTCAAAGCATCCCCAGACAGCAGGATAACACATATGGGTGTGTGATGGCCCGCTATCACAATAATACCGTCCATGTCGATATCATTGTGAAAACATACGGTCACTGGTCTCGAAAAGGAGCCGCAACCGCCTTCATCGATTATCAGAGCATGCAGAGCAATAACAGTTTTTTTTTACCAAACTGCATGCCCAACAATGCACGAATTACGCTAACAGCGGAAGCCATGAAAAAATGAAGACTTATTGTGATAAGCAGCGGCCGTATACAGAACCATTATGGCTAGAATGTCCTGCTATGCAATCTACAAAGTGCCCTAGCTAAAACATTTTCTCACAACATTCAGCAAACAACCACAGAATGAGCACCCGATAGCAACTGCCTCGCAATGGAAGTGAAATTTAATGGAATTGAATGAAATTAAAAGGAATTGAATGAAGACAAAACAACATGTGGCTAAGCGAGCTTTCGCATGTCGTGAGGCGTTTCATATTTGACGTTGTATGACATTATCTTCAAATAAACTTGAAGTGAAGCCTGAGAACTGAAGATGGTGCTTTCAGATTTCAAAAATCTGCTATCTTGCTGAATCGGCCGTGACCGGAAAGGCTGGACATACTGAGGCATACGAAGGAAAGGAAAAGCAACGAATGACTTCTTGTTTATAACGCAAAGTAAAACAATGGGTAACGAAAAGTGGGAGTAGCAATGTTAACTGACGTCTTCAGACGCTAAACAATGATGAGCAGTGAGCAGCTTGGACGAAACCACCATTCCAGTATCTCGTTAAAACAGCTCTAGCGACAGAGACTGCACATCCCAGTACAGACATTTGTACCAGACAATCAGCCCAAATGGCTTCGACAGGAAAGTCGGGCCGCCTGGCGTTGAATCAGTGACGTCACTCGCCAGCCTGTCCACTGGGACCGTCTGTTACCCCACTCGGGGGAGAGGGAGGGGAGCGACCAGGAAACCAGGCGCACCGTCGGGCCATCGCGGAAAGTGGCTGCCGTCCGTACTGTCCCCAAGGAGGCGTCGTGCCCGTCGACTGACCCAGCAACTCACTGGTGGGAGACAGGCGGCAACAGGCATGTGCTAGTCGCTAGAGACGCGAGCGTGGTCGCCGAGTCTCTGTCTACGACAGTGTCATAAAAAACAAGGCACATTTTGGGGGAATGGATAATACATTTTGATTGGATACTAAGGTGCCAAACCTCAGCCAGTGAAGCCAGCGTTGAGTGTTGCTTTGGTTTAGCGTCGAAAACGTTCATGTTTCAAAGCATGCGACCCGACTTGCCGGTCTCAGCAAGAGCGAGTTGTGGCGTTCATAAGCTCTGGTGTGAGGAAAAGTCGCATTGACGTCGATTCTGGAGCGCAACTCATTCGGTGATGCCATCGATAAATTGTACTATCGGTCGGATGCTTGGGGGCACTGCAGCAATCACTGAGATTTAACATTTGCATATTTCAATTTGAATAAGCTCATAATCAAACACCAAAGTGAACTAAATCCCTCCATTTAAACAAGCGCGACATGCAGCACAACCCCTCACAGTGCGAGGAAGTCATAAATCCTCCATTAGCTGTCACGCAATGCGCCTTTAACACCAGCCGTGTCCACCCGGCACGTCCGACGCGGCGGGGGCCGGAAGGGCGCGTGCCTAGTCCTCCACCCCCACCGCGGGGGTCACAGGAGGGGGACGGCACAGCGTGGGGTCACAGCCGGGGGAGAGGAGGGCGGACACTCACCCGGAATGTGACGAAGTAGTCCAGTCGCGAGACGAGCACCAGCGCCTTGGGTGCGTACATGACGCTGTGGTGGGTGATGGTCGGCAGACGCTGCAGGCCGTTCCTCTCGCCACTGAAGGTCTCCTCCTCCTGCGGGCAGAGGGGGGGGGGGGGGTCAGCAGAGGTCAGCTCGGATCAGCATGGTTCAGTGGAGGTCAGCATGGTTCAGTGGTCAGTGGGGGTATGCAGGGCCAGCATGGGTCAGATAGCTATGTCATGTCAGCAGGAGTCAACGGTGATCCAGAGAGGTTTGCATATTTTCCGCGGGTCAAGAAAGGTCAAAAAGCGCGTCGTGCCATCAGAGGTTAGCTTATGCCAGTCAGTCGCATCCATCGCTCCCTTAGCAAAATTTCAAGGTGCGTGAGCATATAAGGAGTCGTGCCGATCGCCTATCAGTCTTTAAATTCAATCTCGCACGCCCTCTGAGACGAACGGATCAGTAGCTCGCGATACGGGTAAGGGACAAAAACACCGAACTCTGCTATTACCGATGTCTGACGATAAGACAACCCCGGCGAATTTCGGCTACACACTCACTGCACACTGCGCAAGGATATCCGTAAAAAGACAGCATCAGCAACACAGCTCGTATGCCGGCACCGAATGAATGGACTGCATCTCACATATCCTTCTGTAGCTGACAGCCGAGGCTGGCCATTTCATCTCTGTGATGAACGGGACGTTAGGGCGGCCACCGATCACTGGCTGGTGTCGTGATACCGAGACCGGCAGGCCGGCCGACAGACAGGCTGACTCAGTCCTGCGCAGCCAGTCCTGCTCAGCTCACGGGGAGGACGGCATGGGTCGTTCGCCCGGCGCTGGGGAGACTTTGACCGTGCTGTTCTGGCCACACGGGTCGAGTAACTAGTATGGATACATCGGGCATTATTACCACAGAGATCAGATAAGAGTACCATACAATGGGAATCGGACATCATTACACCAATGGCCAAACCAGTGAGCAACTCCCCAGACGCCGGCCATCACTATTCGTTACGGGACCGTCAAATTCGATGGAGGATGACGAAAACAACAGATTTAATGGGATCACGTCTTGAAACAACACATCGATCATCATTCTCTTTGGATTGCATTTGCAAAATACGATCCCGACCGGTTAGCTCTCTGCTACTGTGGCTATGCGGATAATCTGATAGAGTCCCGGCCTTTCATTTTATGGCGGTTTGAGATAGTGGTCGAGCTTCAGAGAGTAGCGCGGCTTGTCCCTTTCCAGACGAACCACAGTGTTTACAAACTGAGTCATCGGAGCGACGCGAACCACGGACAGGGGCTGGATGTCCTGTGCGCGCGCCGCGGCTACCGAACGACTGAAATCTGCTCTGATCCGGGGCAATCGGATTTAATCCTCTGATCCTGATGATCCCCATTTGGCTCGAGCCTGGTCTCAATCCAATCCTGTCAAAGCGGACAACACAGGCGCAGGTCGTAGCCCAGACAGTCAGTTTTCCTAGCGAGGGGAGGGGTAGCAAAACACACACGCCAGACCTCATATCAACCTGTCTCTCCCTCACTTTATAGGACAGAGCAGCGTGCGGCGCGACTGTAGTCGATAAAAACCATCTGCCCTTAGAGACAGGTGCCGTGTCAGACCAAAGGCGGGCCTGCATACACGTGTTCCTGGGCTACCATACCATAACCACCACCGCTGCCGCCCTGTCGCCGCCGCCGCCGCGGCGTGCCGCGAGCCGCGGCGTGCCACTGGCATTTGGCTTGTCAGATCAGTCATTCGCCGGATGGTTTAAACACAGACCCGACCGCGGCCCCCAGCCCAGTCTGACTCGGCAGAGCGCGGCTGAGGCGTCTGACACAGGCGACGCCGTGCGGAGCCCCACGGGCCACCAGGGCCGGGCGGGCGGGGTGGTAACACATCAGACTGACGACTGCACTGGACAGACGGCCGCCCACGTGGCAATGAGTCATGGGAGGCGAATGTTGACTTTTGTAACGACTGAAATGGGGAATTTGAAAGCACATTTATCGTATGAACCGTAAATAATATCGAGGCTGTTCATGAGAAATCACATCGTGGCCCCAAAAGCAGCAAAAAAGTCAACCTAGATAACAGATAATGGGAATGAGTATCCATCCGCCTTCGAAATGGTCAAGAACGCAAAACTTCACCCTCCCTAGCAGCAGCGAGCTGCTTCGTGTGCGTTGCAACGCCACGCTACAACCTCCGTCATGGGCTGCAACACACGTCCCCCCCCCCCCCCTCTCCTGCCACTGTCAGGCCAACGGTATCACATGACCACCGGTAGCCATGCGCGGGTCGGGTGTCCTGCACACTTGCACGTGTCGACATCAGACAATATCGTCCCGGCAGTCGGTAGGGCTACCGAGCTTTGAGAGGATTTCAACTCCCAACGGAGGCAAGTTATATGCTCGAACGGACCAAAAACTGGGCCAGCGCTCAAGGCTGCACACAGGGACAAGTCTGCAGTCTCTCCACTCCTGAAAAATGCGCCCAAAACATGCAAACACGACTCGGCCGTGGCCGACTCTCACAAGCGTGCAAGACCGGCATCTGCCCCTGCAGTGAGCCTCCACCCCCCCCCCCCCCCCCACCCCGGCCCCACATGCCTGTTGAGAGGCCTACACTGACCACTCCCTCAGTGAGCTGAGCTGACCATACGGTGCATGCCGCCGCCGTCGCCGCAGTCGCCACTGTTGCACGGAACATGCACGAGTGATACCGGATGGGAGCTACGTCTGTGGTGAGAAATCCGGGGCAGATTCGGAGCGATGTGACCCGTCAACCATCCAGGGTTCGCGGTTGTAGCTTGCAGTCACCCCAACAGGAACTCAGATAGACAGAAACGGTGACAGACACGTGGGTGAAAAACGCCCAACGGGGGATGATAACTATCGGTGACTCAAGATTAGGGTGGGACCAGCACGGACGCGAGAGTGCCACATGACTCATAAATTGTGCGGGGATACGTGAGGACGACACGGCGAGAGTGCCAGCAGATCAGGGCCCATTGTGATGCTAATTATTTGGCATCCGGGATACATGTCACTCGTATAGGTCAGCGGCTATCGTGTGCGATAGTGCATTAAGAATGTCGTAGCGTATGTAGTACGGTATGACACTGGATCGGGCTTATTTAGGCGCTAGTGTTGAGATGTGACATTCATCCAACGCGCCGTCCGGAGTCCACAACTTGCATACCAATAGTTACGTCTGCCCTCCCACCATACAACCCACCATTCGGTATGCACCGTCCCATACCGTCCGACGAAAGCTCATCGTCCACGGACCGCCAAAACCAGCGCCCACCAGACCATTGCACTTCCACCGTTCACCGACCAGCGGCGACGGGTGCTGTCAACGTCCAATCCACTGTCCACCGGCCATCAAATAGCATCGATCTGACCCAATACTAGTCCAGCTCAGCCGTGACTGTAGAATAGATCAGACTGGCAGTCTCTATTGATGACGTGCACGACTCAGTCTCCCAGCGTGGCTCGGGCCGGGGCCGGCAGAGGCAGTACGGTCGGAGTGAGGCTCACCGGGGTGCGGACCAGCCCGGCCCGACGCGACGTGACTAGAGAGAGACGGACCCGTCTGTCAGCTACACGAGAGTAGCGGCAGAGCGGCGCTTCAATGAGCTGGGAGCGCTATGCATTATGCACAACTCGCATACTGCCTCGCTCACTCGTGCATATGCTGCAATTTAAATTCCAGAGACATATCTTAATTATGTGTGCATAACTAGATCTGGGTACAAAATGCTGAGACTGGAAACTGAACATTGGCGCATAGCACTGAGAAAAAAAATTATTCCCCAGGGGTGTTTTACGGGTGTCAGACACCATTGGAGGTGTCATCGAACACCCAGATTGGTGTTGAAAAATGCTGTTTAGGGAATCATTAAGGTGTACAACACCACGATGACACCCTTTCAAGTGTTCGTTCGCATGCGAGCGTTTAGATATACCTTAATGGGATTCAGCATGACACCTTAATAGGTGTCCGACACCCACACCCATCCGGGTATCAAACACTCTAAGGTATCAAACACCCTAAAAGGTGTCAAAAATGTTCTTTTAAAAGCATCTGACACCCTTATGATGCCTTCACAGGTGTTGCCATTTATTAAAGCGGAATGTTAAAAGTGTCCGACACTGCTAGAGGTGTCACATTGACACTTGCAAAAGGATCTGACACCAAAAACAGCGTGAAAAAAATGAGGAAAAATATTCCCATGGGGTGTCTCACGGGTGTCGGACATCATTGCAGTGTCATATATAACGCCCAGATTGGTGTCAAAAATGTTGTTTTGGGAATCATGGAGGTGTACAACACCACGATGACAACCTTCAAGTGCAACGCGCTTTTAAACACACGTGGGATTCAGAACGACACATTAATGGGTGTCCTACACCCAGGGCTGCGGAGTCGGAGTCGGAGTCGGAGTCGACAGTTCTGACCGGAGTCGGAGTCGTAGTCGGAGTCGATTTTGGAAACCGGAGCCGGAGTCGGAGTCGGAGTCACCGAAAAATCCATCGACTCCGCAGACCTGACAGGGCTGCGGAGTCGGGAGTCGGAGTTGGAGTCGGTCGGAGTCGATAGTTCTACCCGGAGTCGGAGTCGGAGTTGTTTTTTGGAAGCCGGAGTCGGAGTCGGAGTCGGAGTCACTGAAAATCCATCGACTCCGCAGCCCTGCCTACACCAACATCCATTCGGGTGTCAAACACCCTAAACCATCAACACTTCAAAAGGTGTAAAAAAATGTTCCTTAAAAGGGATCTGATACCCTCGTGATACCTTCACGTGTGTTGTCATTTGTTGAGGAACATTCCAGCATGAGTCATGAAATGTTTGAAAGCTGTCGTGTATTCGAACCCAAATCATCACATAAATTGTTCTGACGTCACTTGTGTTAGGAACCAAGGATGCGGTGTCTAACGGATTTTCAGTGACTCGGACTCCCGCTCTGTCTTCCAAAATGGACTCCTATTCCGGCCAGAACTGCCAACTCCATCAGACTCCGACTCTGACTCCGTAGCACTGCTAGAAACCACAGCAGGTCCAGTGGTTTGAATCATTACCCAATCAGCAAGCTGCATTGTGTGACGTCATTTGTGTGCCGGTCACGGCGTCAACCATGCGAAGATCAAAAAGCGCCACCTTGCAGGAAAGCCGTTAGATTTCAGTTGGCGGCGGCTGGCCACGTGGTGCGTGTGCGGTGTGAGTGATGGCAGGGCTTTTTTGAATTTATGTGGATATAGTGGCGCCGAACGTTGTTCGCAGTGTACTTCTTCAAGTGATTGTGCGTTAATGATAATGTTTAGCTTTTATTTGTAGCTTGCTCCGTGTTTATTCAAATGACGAGGCGGGCGGTACTCGGTGAAATTTGAAGTCTGGAGTGAGGATGACAACACAGCATTGCACCATGGAAACGAAAGCAAGTGAACTGCGGAATAACATCTGGTTGGAGATAATCGACGGTTAATTATCATTGTTGAAATGCGAGCAACTTCTCACTGTGAATGGACCCGATGTGTTTCGGTGAGTTTTCATTGGATTTCTCCATAAATATAGAGCCCATATTTTTTTTTTGTACTTTATAGTTTGTTGCTGTATACAAGATAGGAATGTCATGTTTGTATGCGATACCTATGCCTGTTTGAACCAATAAATGTAAGAATGTGTCGACACCTTTTTTGGCATCCAATGGACACTCTCGTAACACCTTTAAGGGTGTGTACCAAACTGCACCTCGCTGGGGTGTCAGACGGGTGTCACTTTAGACACCAATACAGGTGTCATTGGGAATCAAACACCGGGTGTCTGACACCCTTTTGGGTGTGCACCCAAAAGGGTGTCAGACACCTAAAAGGGTGTCAGACACCCGGTGTTTCATTCCCAATGACACCTGTATTGGTGTCAAAAGTGACACCCGTCTGACACCCCAGCGAGGTGCAGTTTGGTACACACCCTTAAAGGTGTTCCAGGGGAATAATTTTTTTTCTCAGTGAGTGACTGAGTTCTTCGAGCTCACTGACCCCTTCCTCTGAAGGTTGATCAGTTGGCCCGGCTGAGCCGCTGTTGGACACCTGCCATTCAGCAGAGCTGTCGATCGCACCCAGCCCCTCCCCTCCCTACCCCGCCCACCTTACACCTCTGCCCCCGCGCAGCATTCAAACGAGTCGGCCGGCCGCGCCCGGGGTCATTCCGACGGGAGAGGTCAGACAGGGCAGTCGATACGTTTATCGACACTCATCGATAACAGTCATCATCGATATGCCACCACATGTTGACCGCTGTCAGAGTTCCCAGCGCACATTGGTATTCAGACCTGATGGTGGCTTTTTGATTCAGTGAGATCAGCAGCAAAAACGGATCAGTGAAGTTCGCGGCCAGACTCAGATTAGACTCTGCGTGCTGTTTGAAAGTCAGTGCATATCAAATGCATAACGAGTATGCATATAAAGGCATTCCAAGGTTCAAAATAAAGGTCCGCTGTGCAGACTCTAGGAAATCACCTTAGCAAAAAACCTAACCACAATAAAAAAAATGTTATAAAGGAGCCAAGAGCAAACAGCATATTGCACCAGCAGCACCACCCCACTGAAAAAAAAATGTTTGGCATTGGTGATTCTCTCAATGAGTGGACCTGGCATATCCTTTTCCGATATTAACATCTTCCGAACTCATCTGTCTGTCTCTGGGACATCGCCACTCGTCCCCGGCTCATCGATTATGTTATCGTCTTTTGCACACGGCAGCACGCGTCATTCCCCATCGGGCACCGCTCCTCACCGCACGCCGTCCGGTCGCGTTTGGAGCGCTGCCAACTCAGCTGCAGTTGCAAAACCCGGCCGCGGACCGAAGGGCGGTCCATTCGGTCCGAGAAAGTCGGTCCGTATCGGGACCTCACCCCTGACCGAGTTGGTACTGTCGGTCCTTATTTGGGTCCCCCTGCAGCGGTGCAGGACGCACACTGACACACGGGGTTATCGCGACAGACACCAGTGAGGTTTCAATGCAGCTCTGTGACTCGCCCCTCGCCGGCCCCGCCGTCATACGTCATGCTGTCAGCTCGACAATTTTCCTCGCTCAGCTCAACCACTCTTGCCTTTTGCACCACCAAATTGCAATTAGACAATCATCCTCTGCAGTTTGCACCAAATGGTAAATGAGACAATTTATACCACAAGCGAACATAACAATCATTATTCCAAATGTGTAGGCACGTAGGAGATGTAGGACTCTATTATCCATTTCAATTTCAAATTTTCAATCTCAAAGCAGAGCACCCACCAAGAATAGCGCCCGATCTCATCTTGTGAGAGCCATCGCCCGCTCTGGCGAATAATCAATCAGCCAGGCGCGGAGTCCCGGCCCCCACCACTCCCCCGCCCACCCCGGCGTGTTCAATGGGCGAACAATCGTTGGCTGGCGCTCCTCCAGATTTGGCAGGGGGAGGCGAGGAGTAGGACAGCGACCACAGGGGGACGGAAGTGCTGGGTATGGGAGGTGTAACCGCACCATTACACAACGACGATCACGGGACAGAGTTGGACGGTGATATCAACATCCTTCCGCTGCGCTGGACAGGCAGGCGGGGGACGGTAGGAAGGAAGTTACTCACAAGTGTCGGCGAGATAGCGTACGATATCTGTCCGACTGAGACTGCAAAGGCCAAGGACTGGTGCAAACAAAGTCCGCAGACACACACTCGACGTAATCGCAAAACGATACTTCGACCCGCAGAGTTCAGGGTTTCCCTTCGCAAGGCAGAGAGGACAAAGATAGCCTATGCTTACGCATTATTTATCCCATTCGTTAAGTCTGATCAGCTACTTTCGTCATTACAGTCATTACCACACGACTGGTGGTCAACAACTCGGACCAAAAACCGCGTGACCGGGCTGGACGGCTGTGAAAAAGTGGCAGCTCTACCAGTTCCCTCAATCGACCTTCACGGGCTCAGTGCCCCTCCCCTCTCCTCAGTGCCGACAGAACCCAGCCGTCTGAAGAAGACGGCGTTCGAGCACCAGACGTCAGAACCAGAGCACAGCTAAAATTTGACCGGAGAAGGAACGAAATGTTGAGTGCTGGCAACGCCAGTGAAAGGGAAAAGCAACACAAACAAAATATGAGATATGTCAGTGGTACTTGAATGCCTTACAAAAGCGAATTAATGCACGCCCACACCAACGTACAGAACGAATCAGGCGCATGAGGGCGAGGCTGCAGTCCCCACCAATACCTATCTAAACTTTGCAATGCCACACTATTACCTACAAACGTATCCCACCCCACCTCATACAGGCGACAAAATCACCATGCCCACACCGGTAAAAGAGTCAGCATGCCCACTGGCTCACACTGCACCGGTAAAAACACCCCAATCCAGCCCTGCCCCGGCCTGCCCACACCCACCAACCAGCCCTGTCCAGGCAAACAGAGGTTGTCGGTCGCCGCACCGCCCCTGGTCGGCCTGTGAACCGGTTAGCGGCAGCGTGATCGGCCCGGGGGCAGAGCGGAGGGGCGCCGGGCCGGGCTGGGCCGGGCTGGAGTCAGGCGAGGGCGGACACATGCCGGCTCTGGATCAGCTCCAGAGCGTCGTGCGAGGGAAACAGTGCAGACACACGAGAATTGGACCGTTACAGTGCAAGAAAACGGAGGAAATTGATTAGTGGAGTGACAGAACCGGCGTGGGTTGGAGCGGCGACGTTCACGCTGTAAATAAGATGACTAGCAAAGATGATGACTCACGCGTCACAGCCCTACCAATTAGATTGGCCTATCTAACCGTATCCAGACCACAGCGAGAACCCTCTCTCGCCACCGGCTATTACAGGCGCAGCGTGTGTAATGAGCGCGTTAGATCGGATAAAGATAATAAACATCCGCCAGTCATTACCGCAGAGGGCAGGGTGCTGAAAGCTACCGACACCGGCGCCGCACCACGCGCCGGCCACCCAAATCAAACAGCAGCGCCGCGCCGGCGCGATTAGAGCCGTTACTGAAGCCACGTCAGTCAGAGCCCACACCTCTTTCAGGGGCGAGAGACATGTAACTCCGTCATACAGAGTGAGGAGGTAACCTCCTCGAGGCGGTAATACAGTGGAGGAGGACTGGGCGAAGTAACTGTCTTAGAGCGGGGGAGGGGCGGGAATAGTAAATAATTCCGTTATGAGTCGGGTCCGCCCACTAGAATCTCGTATCTCCCCTTGGCACACTTAGCTAGGCTACCGAAGCATTTTAACCCCCTAAATCTCCCAAACCAATTTGCCAGTGCCCACCACGAGCCACAAAACCCACGGCCTTTCCAAGATTCCGCCATGAATGAAGGTAGCCTTATCCTGTCCACAATCCACAGTTTCGTGACGGGACCGTTGTGCTCCTCCCTGTCATTTTCCGGGCGCGCGCGGCGGCGAGCGGTGGACCCACCTCATCGACTGGCTTGCTGGGCTGGATGGTGACCGTCTCGTTGAACGTGAGACAAGCGCAGTAGTGTCGCTCGGCATCCACGTCTGTGAGAACAGAGACGAAGAAGCGCGGCTCCAGACGCTCGGTGGAGAGCGCCCAGCCCTGTGGCTGGCAGAACTGAAACGGAACGGCAGAGAGACGTGTCAGATACGAGTTGTGGTAATGTGGTTAGTGAAAGAGCAGATGGGATTCGCGAGACGTGGATAACGCTCTGATTAACAATGTAGATGAAAGCATACGAGCGGTACAGTACGCGGAATGATGGTTCTGGTATTTCATGTGACGATTGTAAATGTGTTATGCTAAGTGAAGTATGAGGGAGCGGAGCAAGGGTCTAAAAAGTGATGGAATAATGTGAGTTTTTTATACCGTGCAAAAGAAATATTAGCAGGTGAGATAGAAAACTCAAAAACGATACCGATGAAAACGTTCGAGGAAGCTAGCGCACCTCCCTGAATCAATGACTGGTAACAACGCATGTTTGAAGTGTGACGATTGTGACCCAAGTCCCTATTTCCTCCTCCTAGCAAACAGAAAATAGCTCGATAGAACACGAAGATGTCCCGCTCCATATTACAGTAGGATGTCAGCAACGGCCAACACCGACCGCGCCGCCCGTAGAACAGGTGAAAACGGCGACGTGGGAGCGAATTACGCCAATTGCGCCGACCACAGACCACACTCCACTAAACCACAGTCTACGGTCTGCCGTGCGTGCAGCCCTGCCAGCAATGCAGAGTAACGAGAAGAGAGCGATACCAGACTGGGGCAGTCAATGACCCCTGTCGCGGGTTCAGATTCAGCCCAGAAACGAAGAGCGCTGTCAAGGAAGGTGGCAGTTCAATCACCGCTCGAAATGGAATGTCACTTGCAGTGTGCTTGTCTATGCTTTTACGTAGATGAGTATTAACTTGGTAATTAGTCTGTAAATATTGTGCCTATTATGGAGCAATGAAGGAGAAATGACCATTAATGCAGAACAGGAACTATAAGATGTAATAAGAACGATATAGTTTGATGAAATTATCTCTTGGCAGTTTGCACTACCTGTGAATTCTATTTGAAGCCCATTATAAAAAATCGCATATAAACATGAAGTAAAATACGGCAACATTCGAGTCACACATAACACAGTCGTCGCACATGGATGATAACTTACACAACTAAGCCATTCCCTTACAGTCTGCAGAAGCACTCCAGCCAAACAGAGGCATTCGAAATCTCGAATAGCGCTAGATACCGCAAATGGAGCCCACAATCCACATGCCATCAAGCTCGGCAGTACCACACAAATTACAACCTTTCACTTACATTACCACCGGGGACTACATCATTCCGGAGCCTCTCAGGGCAAAACCAATAATTTACGGCAACAGGCAGAACAGACAGACATCGTCCGAGGCCCACACCAAGAGACAGACGTACTTCCTGGGCTCGTCGCCCCGTGACAGCCCGCCCCGCCCCCGAATTCAGTCATCTCTCCATACCGCTCTCCCGGCATTTCCACTCATTTCGCCGTACATTTATCTGTCGCCAGCCGCACGCTGCGCGATGGCCCGCGGCGGAAAATTGGGCAGGCCAGCAGAGCGGTGCCGCACGGAGTCATCAGTGTGACGAGCCAAGTGGAACGCGCCTAATGCCGCGAGCAGCAGACTCAGAGTCTGACTCACCGACTCCTCAAGGAGACTCGGCCATGGTACCGGGGCGGCCGGACACGCCGAATGGTGACGGGGTGATAAACATTTACTGGGATAATTAGTGTCCGTGACAAAACACTTGTATACCGTTGCTGTAATTTGGCAGCCCTTATAATGGTCATTGAGGTGAATAACAGGAATCATGTGTTTTAAAAAGACCCACACAAATGTATGTCTTCTAGAAAGAACTACGATGCGTGGCGTGGTACAAAAAGCTGTTGACAGTGCTCAAGCTTTTGAGCAGACTAACTATCGAACATAATGTCAACAAAACGGGGCAACCCTTCAAATGGTCAGTGCTCGGTCACCTAGCATGAACAGCGCTAGAGCTCTATTCCCTCCACAACACTAGCATGCAAAAACTAATTACCACTAGCGTTTCGGCCTCCCAAACGGAAATGAAGTTGGAACAAAACAGTGTGCCCACTACCAGTTTACCGGGCCCAACAGCTTACTAAGATGACTTGCATGAGTCAGCAACAATACGTTTCGAAGCCGAAAACGATCGCGGCAATATTTCAGGTGAGGCGAGTCCTCAATTATTTGATTACAAACACAAGAGACTAAAGCGGTTCGATCCGGCAGGTCAACGGCAACATCCGTGTCACCATTCTATACAAAATGCATGGGAATGGGTCACGGACTGCAGCTGTTAGCTGGCAAGATTGCTTTACTATAGCTGGCACCTAACCATTCCTGAGAATGTTATCACCAGAGGAAAGTGAACAACCAACAACAAACGTTACTGAGCGATCTCCGAGACAGAAAGCCGTTGGCTAATAACCAGAGGAATTCATCTGAGAACGAACGAATCACATAAACCTGCTTAGAACCCAACAATGAACAAACAGTAAAAAAAAACTTTTGTCGCACCAGCAAATCGAAAAGTTTCAACTTTGCACTGCTTTTGCCAGTCACCCCTTATCATGAGGTACGGCACCAATATACTGAAAAACCACAGACACCGCTTCCAGAAGTTCTACCGCTCCTTTTCCCAGTATGGAGGCTAGGCATAAGGCAATGCTCGTATATGAGTTATCACAGACACTGGATGTGATTGCACGAGCACCGCACGAGTGCGTAACGCTGAACCGTACACCGCTATGCAGAGATCTATGGCAGAGCTCAAGAATGCGAAGGAATTTTTTGAAAATTTTGAAGGAACGAGTTAAATACAGGTTTTAATATCAATAGCAATCAATGAAAAAATAACAAAAACATGGCATTTTAATAAATGTTTGAAAAAGAATCCAAAATGGCTCACAGCACTGACATATTTCTACCATGAGTGATAAAGGAAATGAATGATGATATCATTCCAGTCTGCGGCGCGGGCGGCGGACAGGCCCCAGTCACATAACATAAACAAAGCCGATCCGACCATCCCATCCGTCGGCATCATTCATCACAGTGTAACGACAGCCGGCGTCAGGCGCGGTAGGCCGACTATCCCGTGACGGGGGGACAGACTCAGGCGCGGGTGGCTTACTGTGCCGTGACGGAGGGTTACGCTCAGACATGAGAGGGGACGTGGCGAGTTAGTTGTTGAAACTGCCCCAGGACGTGGCGACACACTCATCTACGGATATTGAACTATCCCGTGACGGGAGACACACTCCGGAATATCCCGTGACGGGATCGGGGAGATACACTCAGCTACAGTCAGTGAACTTCCGTGACGGGCGCCGCCATGGCCTGACTGAAACACCTGTGATCCTACATTCTACAGCTCTTGTCGCGAGTAACTTCACCCAGAGCCACTGCCGCCACCGCTCTGTGGCCACGGCTCTGTGTACTGAAGCCCAACCAACAGTACCAGACAGTTCCCGTCGCTGCACCTGCTTCCCGCTCGGACCCGAGTCGGAGAAGACAGTTCCTCATTTCCGATTCGGACAAGGCAGTCAGTTCCCCGTCCCCATGCGTACAGGACACGACGCCCAGCCCTGATGACAGACAAACAGACGCGACTCACCAGCTCGATGCCATCGATGAAGGCGGTGTCATCCCAGTCGGTGACAGGGAATCGCTGTAGGATTTTTCCGCAGCTGACACCTTGTTCTGCAACAGGGCAGAGCCGGCCGTCAGGGCACACCCAGAGATTCACGACACGGGGAAGGGCATCGGTCAGTGGGCCGGGCGACGAAAGGTCAGGAGTTATAGCCGGGTGGCAGATGAGAGACAATGCTGACGGACAGAACAGAATGACGGGAGCGTGGACAGTGGACACGTTAACTGCGCACAAAGGGATGGACGGACGGACGGACGAGGGACGGAAACATGGACATGTGGAATGTCAGCAATTTTCGTTACGAATGCACGGACTGTCGAAAGTCACAATTAACTGATTTATTTGTAGGTGTTGTTTATAAAACTTGAGTAGGCTCTAAGATAGGGTTACATCATCACTTTGAAGGATTGCCACGAAAAGGATGACTGATTATATCATCTGCACTCGTTCACGTGAGGTGTGATATACCTCCTCTGAGCCTTGAGCGATGTGCGCCTACTCACAAGACTTTGCTCCAAGCCAGAATGAACTGATAAACATGCAGAAATGAGCAGTGTGCATGGCATTTTCTATCCCAAACAATCCATTGCGCCTTGCGGTGAGACATATGAGCGGAAAACAGACCGAATTCGACATATCAACTGGCATGATGCTCGGTTACATCCATCTGCCACAATCCGCACCGTTTCATTTTTACTCTCGATTCGTTCACCTACCCTCCAGATCGTAACTCCCTTCCTTTCACACACCCAGCATAACAAGCGGCGACCGCAGCGTTTTCAAACTCGCCTATCACCCCACCACATCAACAAACCCCAAACCCCAGCTCCACACCGATCTCCCACCACGACCGGAAGCTGCCCTCTCCCCTCCGACCAGTGGGGACCGACCCATCCCTCCACCGACCGCTGACCGGGCTACAAGGCCTGAGTCCGCCCACTCGGGGGAGACACCGGCGGCGGAACAGGAGCCGCCAGCGTCAGCCGAGCGTACGCGGACCGCCGCCGGTTCTCACGGGCAGGGCGCCCCGCAACGCCCGAACGGGCTGCCGCTTCCGGCGCGCGTTGGCGAGTGGTGCGGGCTGAGACAGGGTTGGAACGGCTTGAGGCGACGGATGTAGTATGTGCGTTGGCACTTGGTGCAAGTGCACGGAATGATTTCGCAATGAACAAAGACACAACGCCGATGCTCATTTAGATTTGAGGTTGGCGTCACAACAACAGCGTCCTACAGGTTTCAATTCGTGAAAGGCAAAACAGCCAGTAGCTAATCAATGCCCATTTTAACACCCAGCGGATCAATCTACCTACGCCTGACAAAATCACCGCATATTCAACGATCAACAGGTGCAGTTTCTCTGTAACACCATCCGTTACACCTAACAGCTGCCACTGCAGGACACGCTACAACCACTGAGGTCATGTTGGCCATTAGAGCCGTACCACACAGTAGCCACAGGCTCCGGGTCGCCCGAGACGTGGGCCGCTCAACCGGAACACACCGCCTTCCGCTGTGATTCACGTAATAGCGGCCACCGAAGGCCGGGGTGGTGGGCTGGCCAGTGGCCGTGGTATGCGGTAGCCGCCGGCATGTGTAGCTATCTAGACACGTGAACTATGGGTGATCTGTGCAAGTCAGAGGATCAGAGCGAATGCCGGTTGAAAATGAAGAGTAAAATAAATGAAGGGATAAAACAATGAGCGAGATAGGGTTGCAACGTGTCTGCACGGAAAAAGGAGAACAGCATGACGATAAAATGACGTTTCTGTCCACCTGATGGCTGATTACGTGAACAAAATATTCGAAAATGTCCGCAAGGTATCCGATGGCACCATGCTGCTTCTCATCGATTATCGCGATCACCGTAGCATACACATGACCACGCGCAGAATATGTGTTACAGATATCTGCTGTATGCGGTAGATGCTGCTAAATCGATCCAGACGAATCCACGCAGCACAATTCCAGCATACATTCCACTCAGATCTCGCATCATTCGACATATGTTTCCCTTTTCTTTGCGATGTTTCGCTTTCCTCGCCGTGCGGTACGTAGCTCCTCGTCGTACTACATTAGCTCTTCATACCGTTCGCTCCACCACACCCGCCGGCTGGAGCGTCTCTCAGAATACCTTCCGGCAGCCCGGCGAGCGCACACCGCCGGATAAACACGCCCCAGACAGGCGACGACAGCGGGACGGGCCGGCCGGGCCGGGCCAGGCCGGGCGGCTCGTGCCCGTGTTAGTGCGGAAGCAATGAGCGGTGTATACTGTATACAAGAACAGCACACACGGCGGGCCCATCTGGAAGAGCACCAGATTCCGGAACGGCGTGGAGCACTGACGTGTCCAACACGGGCGGGACAGAGCCCACACGGGTGACCTCAGCTCGGTCACACGGGTAAAGGCACTCCTGGGAGGAGTGATCAGTGATGTCATCCTGAGGTGACGTCACTTTCAGAGCCGGTACCGCCCACGCGCCGCACGGGAACCGGCTTCTTTCGTGAGAGCATGAGAACTCACGATACCGGCCATTGATCGGTAAGCAAAGGTCGGGTCACTGCTCCTGACGTTGGGTCGACCTGACCCAGGTAACCGACCAGGTGTACGCGGGTCAAGTCAGAACACAATAGGCACTTGTTCGTCAGAGCGGCATATGCCGATAAATGGACTTGGGAAGGGATAGACGGACCGACTGACCACTTGAAACCGCATCAGATGAGGATCTGCTGACCATAACAAACAAGCATCGCATCCGACCGTTCAGGTGATCAGACAAACACCGTAGGCAGCTCATTTGATAGACCATCAGATTTTCGGTGATCAGAGCTAGACTGCGAGCCTATCCGACAGAACAGCAGTAGCACATCCTCCAGGATCTACAGCCGGCAATGTTCGTGATCTGCCATCACCGTCAAACTGCATAATCGCTCGTCCAAAGGACGCCAGTCGTGGTGCCGTGTTGTGAAAAAGGGGCGTCCTTCACCACAACACCGTTATCGGGCTCGCTACAGCCGATAGGAGCATGCCATGAATGCCAGAAGAGTACAGCTTTGTCAATGCCAGGGTGACCAACTGAAATATGTGTCAGATAATGTGGCTGACTGTGTAGGTCTGTCGAGGAGCTCAATCCCTAGTACCTACTTACATCATTTCCTTTCATAGCTTTTAGTGAGGTCAACACTAAAACCCTGTGAGGAAGAAATGTACCAAGCACCAGAGGATACACCAAACACTTTGAGACATACAGACAGATTTTAATCAGCAGCACATCTCTCAGTACAAGTCAAGGATAAGGTGAGCATTATGGAAAAGACATACTATCATAAAGAAAAGCGGCAATAACATAATATTAACCATATGAGTCTTGTGTAGACTTAGAATACAAGAAGGATTCAACACAGAAAAAAATACTCCACAAAGCATCTGGCACTGATTAAAGGTTCTCACAGAAATATAATGGGAGTGGGTTATGGTACTTGCACATAGTATGCACAAGAGTACTTTCAAGCTTTAAAGCTTGGTGGTATGGCAAAAGCCTCTTCCACTTAATGATAATATTTACCACTGCATAAGCATATACCAGCCCCAAGAATCCCTGAAAGGGAACATTGCCCCAGAATATATGCCTATGTTTCCCCTTTATCTAGAAACATAATCCGGGGTTCTTGGGATATAATCAAGGGATTTCCATGCAAAAGCATATAGTCTCTTGCACTTCCAGCAATCACAGTCACTAGTCAGCATTGCCAACCAGAGCATCCCATAGTTCACACTGTCATGCACACCAACACACTGCAGCTGTTGGAAAATGTTCCCTATTGATTCTTATGGTAAGTTTTTGTTGTCAATGTACTGGCATATTGGGGAAGGCTTTAGACCAAATTCCCCGCAGGACCCAAAATGAAAAAAATGAAAATTTACTGCTATGTTGGAACAAGAAGAAAACTGAACAACTTTCATAAGAAAAAAAATTGGAGAAACATTTATTTGGGTATGTCTCTGCAGCATCTGAGTGTGTGAATGTGTTGCCTGATAAACTGGGCAAAGCTGAGAGTTAAAAAACATACCCATATTCATAGTAAGCTGTGAAATAGGTTGGTAACATCCCTATCTTACCAGATCTACTCATCTATCTATCCTAGTAAAAGTTAGAAAAACACAACTGTATGATTAATAGGCACTTACTGTCTTTTTCATGGTTGTATCCAACCACTACAAAGTAATCTGCCAGCCTCGACATTATCTTGATGTAGGTATCACACGTCACATCACTACAGCGGGTCTCACATTTAGCTCACAAATGTTTCAGTCGTCACTTGTGTGCCAATATCACGTTGGACACATATGAACACAGTTTAATTAATGAATCCAAATATGAAATAGGCACCGACCACTAACACAATGCTTGACTTCACGGTGCAAGAGCAGCTCTCTCACTTGAGCTGAAGCCTCTGTGAAACGCCCAGGCGCACGGGTTGATCTGTAAGTCGCTAAGCTGCCAATGAGGAACGAAAAATCACCACGATTTTCACGGACACCCCACGTAAACGAAATAATCTCTGATTACAGGCATCGGCACCACCCATACAATAACGTAACTCGCAACTAACCGCCGCCACGGTCATAGAATACTATGCTCGATGCACTTTAACATTTCAGCCGTAGACATTCCTGGCACAGTCAATTGTCTAGGCTGCGTCACTTTGAGTCATAAACAGCCCCACCCATCAGCAAAAGTGATTGGTCGTCAAGAATAACCAAAACGTAATGTCAATCAGCAGGGAAAATATGAAATATGGTATTTTCTCTGCCCATTAATGACTTTTGAAGTAAATATTAGCTAAGACTGATATATTAGGCAGTTGGATGCTAATCTGAAACCAATAGCAATGAAACCTAAGATGTTTTTATGATGAATATCCTTCCAGAGTAACAGTGAATTTGCACCTCTAATTTCTCTTCCTTCATGTTCTCATAAAATGATGCATCTTTAGGTGTTGAAATACTTTGATGAAATTTTCATTAAAACAAATATTTTTGCAACTGATATTCGGTCAAAAAAGATGGTATCGTAAACCGTATCCAGCATGAAAATGATCGAAATAAAATGTAACAATGCAATCAGCTGGCTTCTTTCACCACATGAGAAGTTTGTTAAGGCACATCCAAGGATATGCCACCGAGAATTTAGCCAATGACATGAGGGCTTCCCTCGCGTATCTTGCACTGATTGGTTGAAAACATCCGATCAGCCAACTTACCAGTATATACAGAACGATGAACACGTGAGAGTTTTTCTTTTCACCCAGCGAAAAAGTAAACACACAACACAGTGGACAGATTTAGATAAAAACAAAGATTAGGTGAAATTTTGGCGGTGTTATTTCATCTCGATCTTAATCGTTTTTGTGCCTTCCATCGCCGTACACTTTTTATATTTTATCATTTATATGGCATGTGCACTGTTGAAGTTCTAGTAAAATAACGTCCGCCAGTTCTTTTCTTTGTTTTCAGTTATCGTTGTTTGCCTCTATCCCACCCTAAGAACTGCAGAAATTCACAAGGAAACATGAAAGAAAAAATACACTTTTTGTTTTATTCTGGGAAAATGACAAAATCAGTATAGCTCAACTATTGATATAAGTCGTCAGCTCGCGAAATGTGCTAGAAGTGATGAGCTCTTGCGCTGGGCAAGTTGTGGACCATTGGCTAATTGATTGGTGTGCTTCTTTCAGAGTGACACAGCCAGTGCCAGAGGTGGCCTGGAGCCCGGGCAACCATGGGTGGTCAGCTGTCAGTGCTGATGAGGATGCATGCTGAGAGTGTGCAGAACCACAGCAGAGGTCAGTGCAGTTACCTGAATGTAGTCTCAGTCTTGAAAAGATACCCTTTGCTGCTGATGGCATTGATCATTATTGCTTCAGCGAGTGATGTTGGCAAATTCAAATTATTACCAGTTTGATATCCCTCAATCAATGTTAGTAGGTTATGCTATTAATCATGTTCAGCATTGTCCTGTGGCTGCTTACCTTTAGCCCTCTAACTATATGCCTACCATTGGTCCTAGGGTTCTTGCTGTACTGACTACCTGCTCCACATCTGTCATTCTCCATCATCTATCCATTTTCCCTGTTCTTCACACTCCTTTCCCCTCTCCATGCAGCTCCTCAGCAACCCAATTCCCATACCCTACCTGTTTCAGCACCTGAAGAGGACAGCCAGCCAGATCGCTCCGCCGATGACCGCCAGTCTGGTGAAGTGGCTGCTGGTCCAGCCAAGTTCCCCGACCTGAGCGAACTGCCCGCCGAGCTCGGCCTGGAGGTCCTCAAGCATCTGGATGCCACTGATCTGTGCCTGGCTGCCTGTGTCTGGCAGAACCTTGCCGAGGATGAGATTCTCTGGCAAGGGTAGGTAGACCGGAACATTCTGAAGATGTGCAACTCTTGGTGACCATGTCAGAGGTGACTTTGTGCAGTTTTTAAATTTAAAAGACAACTTGAGTCTGCAACTGACAATAAGAACTTTGAGCCCCAAAGCAAGCTGAGCAAACTATGCCATGTCTGGGAGCTGAATTAAAATTTGTGGATTTTTCTTTTTACATTTGTTCTCTGGTGGATTTTTTATTGCATTTTTCTCTCATAATCACACTTCTACTAAGAATACTGTTGTTGGGTTCTCTTCTAAAAAAAAAATGAAACACACATCAGTTTTTCATGCCCACAGGCTGTACCACCAGGCTGTACTATTTTGCCCCATTGCGTCTGTCCCCAGGTTATGTAAGGACCAGTGGCGGTACGCGTCGGTGTATCGCCGACTGCGTGCCGGCGGCGCCGACCGCTCCTACCGCCACACCTACCTCCAGCTGGACGAGGGCACGCTCACATTCAACGCCGACCCGTTCTCAGTGAGTAGAGCTGGTCTGCTAAACTGATCCATTCTCAGTGAGTAGAGGTCCGCTGTACCGACCCGTTCTCAGTGAGTAGAGCTGGTCTGCTGACTCTGCTCCCACCGACCCATTCTCACTTCTCAGTGAGGTCTGTAGAGGTCCGCTGTACCAACCTGTTCTCAGTGAGTAGAGGTCCACTCCTACCGACCCGTTCTCAGTTAGTAGAGGTCCGCTGTACCGACCGTTGTCACTAGTGAGTAGAGGTGTGCTGTACCGACCGTTCTCAGTGAGTAGAGGTCCACCCCTACCGACCCGTTCTCAGTGAGTAGAAGCCCGCTCCTACCGACCCCTTCTCAGTGAGAAGAGCTGGTCTGCTGACTCTGCTCCCACCGACCCATTCTCACTTCTCAGTGAGGTCTGTAGAGGTCCGCTGTACCGACCGTTCTCAGTGAGTAGAAGTCCGCTGTACCGACCCGTTCTCAGTGGGTAGAAGTCCACTCCTATCCTTTCTCGGTGAGTAGAGGTCCGCTCCTACGGGTCTTTCTCAGTGATCAGTGAGTAGAGGACTGCTGCACCGACTCGTTCTCAGTGAGTAGAGGTCCACTCCCGCCGACCCGTTCTCAGTGAGAAGAGGTCTGTTGTACCGACCCGTTCTCAATGAGTAGAGGTCCGCTTCTACCGACCTTTTCTCATTGAGTAAAGGCCCGCTCCTACCGACCCGTTCTCAGTGAGTAGAGGTCCGCTGGTCCTACCCGTTCTCATTGAGTAGAGGTCCGCTCCCACCAAATGAATCCGTTCTCAATGAGTATAGGTCCGCTATAATGCTCCGGATGTCTGCCAGTGCGGAAATGGGTACCGAGTAACGCTGAGGTACTATGCTGCAGTGACCTAATGTGTCCTGCTACGGTGCTACCTATCGCAGATCTGAGTCCGGCTGCCGTCGGGAGGAAAAAAAGCCGTATCTGGGGCACTTTTTCGAATTGAAAATTGTTCAGGAGAGGCAAAAACGCGTTTTTTGTTATAAAATTCGTTAACTTCGCTCAATAACGAAACAAAACATACTGCAGTGATCGGAAAGAAATTTTACATCCAATGAAAGTGGTTATAAAAGGGAAATTATTTTAACCTAAAAGCAAAAGGCGAAAAACTTTTTTGCTTCCAATTCAACCCCGAGTTTGCGGAATATTTCTTTCACGAAAAAAGCCGTATCGTGGAAGAAAGCCGCATCGTACGAGACACCTGAGCAATACTGTCATGAAAAAAGCCGTATGTCTGATACATTGGTTAACCGATCGGGAATAAAGCCGTATCGCCATTTTTGTTTTATCATATTGTCGTCAAAAAGCAGTATCATCGGTGCATTTGTATTGACAGTACATATTTGTCCATAAAAGAACTAAAGCAGTTCCGCTGCTGGTTCCGTTCCACTGCTTCAGCTCTCAAGTATGGATATTTGATTGAACGTTCGATACAAAAACAAACATGATACCCATTTTAAACTATAGCATCCACGCTTATTGCATAATCGCATTATTGTCGTAACTTTAGGCTCTTGGATTCTGATTGCGCAGGGTGCCATCAAAAGACAGCTTGACCAACCGACCAGGGACGTAGCCAAGGGGGGGGGGGGCACAGGGGCCATGCCTTCCTCTTAAGGCGAAAAATAAAATAAAATTTAATAAAAAAAAACACAGCTGCACCACCAGTGTAAAATTTTTACTTCACCGTTACCTGTGCAGATGAAAAAAGTTTTGTTTTTTTACCAGTCAGTGATGAAAAAAATTGACCGATCTTAACATGCAATGATGATTTTTACACTAACGGGTGCTATGATGAAAAGAATGACAACATGAATTACGTCACGGTGTAAATGGTGTGAACCATTATCCAGCTCACAATGATGGATGGCATAGAAACATCGTTATAAAAAACGTACATGGCGGCAACCATTTTATGGTTTAGGTCAAACCTAGCACATGGTTTGACAAGACTGCATGTCTGATATCATCATATCCGAGTGATTGGGTAAGAAGGTATCCAGGTACAAACAGAAATGGGGACAGTTTTTTGAAAACATGCTAATCAGGACAGACTCATCAAATAAATGCAGAAACATTGTTTTAGATGGGCACACGTTGAAAATATAAGCAAATGGGCTAAAATTTCATCGTATCAGTATGGACCTATGGTCATTATTCACAAGTTATGGGCAACAATCAGCACCATCTTCTCTGATCAGAGAGGATAGTGCTAGAGTTGATCATTACGTTATATATATATCCTGATCACAGTAGGCGGAACCAGCCCCCGTTCACGAGCTTCAGAATTCCTTTACCGTGACGTCATCACGGCGCATGAATTTTCCTTCACCCATAGAAATGCATGCAAAGCATGGTGTGTTTCAGGCGGGCTAAGGAGAAATCTAAGGCCTACATGTGTTCAAAAGACGTACCACTAAGCCAATGGATTCGTCTCATTACGATAAATGGGGTCGAAATCGAAACATTCGGCCTATATTTATCTAAAATGGGCCAATCAAATGGTCCCTGCAACTCATAATGAAGGATTTCCTCTGCGTTGAAAAATTTGTTTCAAGTGTTTTTTCATGAGCGACAGGGGAAATCCTTCATAATTGCTACCAGATTACTACCATATTCCCTCGCATTTCTGTTGCGCATTGCCTCACAAATCAGAGTTTTGTGAAGTTTATATTAATTTAATTGTCATATTTTGACTGATTTTGGCGATTTTCAATTATTTCAACGCAGCATGGATCAGATAGCTCTCATAGTTTGCTGAAGAATGTGGCTTTTGCTTGGTTATTTTCAAGTTATCTGTGATTTGGTGCGCCGTGATCGTAGCATTATACAAATTATAAAATTGAATCAACTTTTGAAGTGAAGTTCACATGAAAAATCAAAAGTTCAAGCATAATAATTGTTTAAACATAATGATGCAACATGTGTCTCCCAGATGGAACTTATATTTCAATTGAAAACTGAAAATGGAAAACAGAAGATGGATCTGCGGAGTTACTGAGATCACAAGGTGCTCTTGATTGTTGGTAATTGAAGATGTTGAGAGAACTTGTGAATCTGCATACCAGTCCTGACTTGCTTGATTGTTTAAAACTATTTTAATTCTCATAATTGTGGTAATGTGTAGTGACTGTGCACACTGCGCAGCACATGTGCGCAGAAATGTGCAGGTGGCTGGTAGGTGGGTTAAACTTCGGAGATGCGAATTTGGATGTCAATTATAAAATTAATGGTTATGCCTTGTAGAGTATAGCGTTTCCTCTCGCTTCAGCCGCACCGCCAGGTCCCACACGCCGCGCCACCACTCGTCACTAAAACGTATTCTCGCTCAGCATTGCCAGTATGGCGGCCAATAGAGGAGCACGTAATAGAGAAACAAGTACCCACTGGCGATAGTACTCGGTACAAACGAAACGCTTAATTCTAATCGGGAAACACTACATCCCCCCGCACTTAAACTTAAACTCCACGAGTTCAGCTGTCACTCCACGAGTTCAGCTGGATAACAATCACACACGAGTTCAGCTGGAGAACAATCACACACGAGTTCAGCTGGAGAACACAATCACAGGTCCAAGCGAGTCGGCTTAAACCTACGACGGCCTCGCGACGACGCGGTAAGTTCGCGGTCACTGCGGTTAGAGGCAGGTAGTCCACGATCACTGACCCGAGGGTCCACTCGGTTAACCGGGTCGATCGGTGGCGCTAGTACAGGTGGCGCCGGCGGACACGGGGACGCCACGATCTCGGTCGCGCTCGGTAGCTCGCTCGGTAGCGGGCCCGGGGCCGCACCGACCGGCGGCGCCGGCGCGCAGGCGGTCGCGGTCGGTACGCCGGCCAGCGGATCGCGAGGTGCGGCCGCACCGGCCGGCGGTGAAGACACAGGAGCCGCTGGAGACGACACGGACGAGGCCGGGGCCGCCGCGACCACAGGCGGCGGAGACGGCGGCGGCGGCGGCGCAGGAACAGCTTCAGTGCTGACCGGCAGAGTCGGCGTCGACGGGGCGGCGCCGATCTCCCTCCTGGCCAGGTGAGCCACGTTCCAACGCGAACCGTCGGAGAGACCGAACGTAGCGGGTCCGTGACGGCTGACGACGCGGAGCGGCTTGCTGAACTTGGCGCCCTTCTTCTGGACGTGACCGGGCTGGCGGACGCAGACCGTGTCGCCCACAGCGATCTCGGTCGGCCGCGCCCGGTGCCGGCTGTCGTAGTGGCGACGGTTGCGGCGCTGCTGCTTGACGACCCGTCGTGCCACATCAGAGGTGACGCAGTAGTCGTCGAACACCGGCAGGTCCAGCCTCATCTTCCTGCCGTGTAGCAGCTCAGACGGCGATACACCGGTGGTGCAGTGCGGCGTGGCACGGTAGCGCGCCAGTCGGCCCTGCAGGTAGGCCTGGAACGGAACTTGGCTCTGCTGCGCGGCCGCCTGGACCCAGGACTTGAACGATCGGTTGAATCGTTCCACGGCGGCGTTGCCCCTCGGCCAGTACACAGACGACTTCAGGTGCTTGATCTTCCTCTGCTGTAGATAAGTCTCGAAGTCGCGGCTGATGAACTGGGGCCCGTTGTCCGTTGCAATCTCCTCAGGATATCCTTCGCGGGCCCAGATCACAGACAGAATCCTGATGATGTCGCTTGTCTCGACTTTCGCACAGAGTCCCACCTCCACCCACTTGCTGTAGTAGTCCGTGAGGGTGACTGCATAGCGTGCAGACTGGGGAACTCCGGCGATAGGTCCCACGATATCTACACCCAGCTTCGACCACGGCCTTGTGGGAAGCGGGACTGGCTGCAGCGGCGCAGGTCGAACCTTCTGTGACAGCACTTTGTCGCTCTGCTGGCACAGGTCGCACGCCTTGACGACCTCTGTCACGGCACGGTCGACTCCAGGCCACCAGCACAGACTTCGGAGAAGCTGTTTCATCCTGACGATGCCGTCGTGAGCGCGGTGAGCCAGCTGCAGGTACCGGTCGGTCAGTG